CACCTAGTCATGTTCGGACCGATCCTATGGTTATCGAGGACGCTCTAGCAGATGAGGGGTATATTTATGGGGCCCCTCCTTATCTATAGCTGAGAACTAGAATCTCTCAATCTGATTGGCCAATAAAATCGACCAATCAGATTTCAGGAGGACGTTTTTTGCTTATTATAAGGACTACACCCAGTCATGTTTGGGCGGTCGTGTGAAGTGAGCCAAACATGCTAACCAGAAAATTGTGGTTCACTTCATATAGGGAAAATGAATCAATCAAAATGCGAGCCGTTACTTCACCGTCATCCAACCGTTTTCCCAAAACAAAACAATAATACTCACAACCCGGAAGTGTCATTCCCAACACAGAACAAACATACTCATCTACCCGGAAGTGCTATTCGCATAACGGAACAAAGGTACTCACTACCCGGAACTTCTATTCCCAAAACTGAACAAAGGTACTCACTACCCGGAAGTATCATTCCCATAACAGAACAAAAGTACTCACTACCCGGAAGTGCTTTTGTTCTGTTATGGGAATGACACTTACGGGTAGTGAGTATTTTTGTTCGGTTTTAGAAATAGTACTTCCGGGTTGTAAGTACCATTGTTGTGTTTTGGTAATAGCATTTCCGGGTAGTGAGTACCTTTGTTCTGTTATGGGAATGATACTCCCGGGTAGCGAATACTTTTGTTCTGTTTTGGGAATAGCACTTCTGAGTTGTGAGTAGTATTGTTCTGTTGTGGGAAAGATACTTCCGATGCTAGAGTACTATATATTTACAGTGGGTATAGTATGGAGTAATGGACTCTACTTTGGCTCACGCCAACTTTGGCTCACTTCATACGACCCTTCCGCCACACCTACGGTAAAATTTAGATTCCAAACATTATCATAATACATAAGATCGATCACAGATTTAAAGATTGATAGAATCCTGTAAAAATTCGATCGGAATCCGACAGTCGGAATAAAGGGGGATTTCAACAATCGGAAATTATCTGAAACGTATGAGCATCCGATTATAAGATCCGATCGGAATTCTGCAACCCGGATTCCGATCGGATTTTTGTCGGTTTTCGAGTCCGATCGGATCCGTCGTCGGATTTTTTGACCTGGGTTGGGCACACATATGATGAGCAAGTTCGTCTTCAAGATATGGCTACTATGATTGCTACCTGGTCTAAAGCTGTTGATGACAACATACCGATGGTGCCATGTCTATCAACTGATGGTCATTTGCTTGTACTCAGTGCTAGTGCAAGTCGTGTACGGTATGGTGTAAGCGCAACTTTCATAATGGTCTATGCTACTGATGTGACAGCTGTCTTACCGAAAAAGAATTCAGCACGGCCGATCTCTCCTGATCAATTGAGCTTGTGGTGCATTTTTAATGATAGATCAGTGACGCCGGCATATAGTTTCAATATGCACTATGACACTGAACGTGTATCTCTTCTCGACTGTTCACTCAGTTCGTTTGCTAGTGATCAATTATGGAAATACAATCGAACATTGCGAGTACATCTCGCTTCAACAACAGACAAAGATCGAAATATACCCATTCTGAAAGCATTTATTCATGCACCAATGCCTTCAGTGTATCCATCGAATTCTAGCCAGGAATCATTAACATTATACACTTCACGACTGCACAATGGAGCTGAATATTTAACTCAATGGATAGAATTCCATCGATTGGTCGGTTTTCGAAAGTTTGTCATATACAACACAACCGACACCCATCAACACTTGTCATCTGTTGTGACGACTATCAATAGGAAATATCCAAATCTAGTTGACGTTGTTCAATGGAATTTCTCATCTCTTGCTCTGATAGACGTTTTGCCAATACGATACTTTCAGATGCAAGCCTTGCATGATTGTCTGATTCGCTATGGTGATTAGTCAGAATGGTTAGGTGCAATCGATCTCGATGAGTATATTGTACCACTTGATCCATATCAAACTGTGCTTGACTATTTGCATGACAATTTTGGTCGACGTATTGTCGGATCAATCAATCTGAAGAGCCTTTTCTTTTGCTCGAAAGAGTCTGATAGGTACACGCCCGAAGAGAAGGACACAAGTCGTTTAGTTATGGAGCGATTTATTCTTCGTGCATGCGATCGTTATGAAAATGGGCGTGAAAAGTATCTTTATCGAGCAGCCTTTGTTCAGTATTTATCTATTCACCGTTAGCTAATTGGACACCTAATGGAAGAGTCCTCACGAAATCACATATTATTTGCTCACTATGTGTCGATGACTAATCCGCGGAAATTTCCAGGCTGCAGTAGTAGTAGTGAACAATATGTGACAGATACAAGTATTCGAGACCGATTCGCGCAAAAAGTCCAGGATGGAATAAAAAAGTTGATAATCTAACAATTTGTTTATTCCCTCAACTGAAAGGAGGGTCATACACCGAGCAAGGTTCGTATGTTCATAACTTCGTTCGTACGTTCGTTCGTTCGCACAGAGCAAAAAAATGTTTTTTTCACCTACAACATCATCGATCTTACAACAGATCTTCACCTCACCCAATCGATTAGTATAGAGTCCTTACCCTCCCCCCTTCCCCGACAAATCAGATGTCTGCATTCCAACCAATCAGATTTCAGGTGACAGATTTTCAGCCAATCATAGGTTTTCACAGTTTGGCTATGCACCAATGAGATTTCAAGAGTGGCCATTTGAAGCAATCATAGGTTTTCACAGTTTGGCTATGCACCCATGAGATTTCGAGAGTGGCCATTTGGACCAATCAAAAATTTTCACAGTTTGGCTATGCACCCATGAGATTTCGAGAGTGGCCATTTGGGGCAATCGTAGGTATTCACGGTTTGGCCATGCACCAATTAGATTTTGAGAGTCCATTTGAACTAATCATGGGTTTTCTCGGTTTGGCCATGCACCAATGAGATTTCGAGAGTGACCAATTGGATGAATCATAGCTTTTTTTACAGTTTCGCTATGCGCTAATGATATTTTGTGAGTTAAGATTTGGACCAAGCATAGGTTTTCAAGTTGGTGTGGGCGTGTATGTGGGGGTGTGCATGTGGGTGTTGGTGTGGGTGTGGGTGAGGATGAGGCTGAGGGTGAGGGTGTGGGTGTGACGAGTGTGGGAGTGAGTTGAGTTTGGATGTGAGTCTGGGAGTGTGTGTGGATGTGGGTGCGGGTGTTCGGTGCGTTTGGATGGGTTGGAATGTGGGTGTGTGTTTGGATTTGGAATTGAATGAAACATTCTTATGCATATCGACACCGACATCCACACTGGATCCTGCACCAATAGGCACCGTGTTTGTGTTTGAAACTGACAGTCTAGATTTGAGTATGGTTGAAATACCTGTTGGGGCAGTATTGTTGGGTATTTTCTGTGAGTTTTAGTGATGTGTGGCAGTTAATGCTACCGTACTAGTTGTTTATAAAAGTCTATTGAATGAAATGAGGGTCATTCGGTTGCCTTTAGTCCTCAATGCAGTTCGTGGTTTTGTTACGATGAGGTCACATGAAGGTGCACTTGTGAGTTTAGCGGAGATATTGGTAGCAAAATTTGGTTGACACTGCTATTATTCTCTGAAATAGTTACTTAAAAAGTTTTCTTATATGCCGTGTGTCATATATAGCTTGTGTTGTAGTGGATAGCTGTCAAATGCTGCTTGGGATGTCGGTTGAATGCGCAAGCGATAGTGACTTTCTATCAATACGGTTCGTTTGCATAGTTCAAATTCTTTTCATTCTCTTTTGTCTTTATGGCTTTTATTTGAAATAGCGTTTCGTACAAGTTTTACAAAATGATCTATGGGCGAGAACTGTAAAACGCACAAATTTCGAGCATGCAATGTATAGTTTTTTATGCGTTAGGTGGTTTTTCTGAACATCACGGCACTCTTCAGATGTTGTTGTTTTAAACAATGAATTGAAAACGTTTCCGAGTATTTTGTGCTATTCTATCTAATCGTTTAAGTTCTTCTATTTGTGCCGTTGATGGTTTAACTTGAAGTGTTGCATTCAAATGAACGTATAATTAGTAAATCGTCAAGTCTCTTTACACGAGATAATGGAACATAAATCGATGCGAGTTCGATTGGGTCAGACGGCATCACCAGATCGACGATAATTTTACCGAGTGTTTGGCCTTGGCTTTTATACGTTGTCATGCTATATGCGGGTATAAGCGGAAGTGCTTTACGTTTAACCGAGAGTTTTGTTGTTTTCTTGTTTATTTTGGCCGCTTTCGATACATTTTCTGGAAGAAGTTCCCTGGCATCAAACAAGAATGTTTGTTCACTAATAGCTATAGGAACTATCTTGGATTGCAGTTCAGGAAGTTTGTCATCAAGTTTGCAACCAGGAAATTCTACCAAAGCGTACTTTGGTTGCGTTATAAACTTGGTATTTGGTGGAAAATTCTTATCCTGGTATCGAACATCTTCTGGTGATTCATCGTATACAAATCAACGAAAGATTCCACGTGTACCGTTGGAGAGTCTGATCTCACTAGCGACGTTTTCTGTGAGTAAAACTGGCATTCCTGGTACGAGAGGTAAATACTCTGGAAGATGTTCTGTTTTATTGTCAGGTAGTTCAAGTATTGCTTGACGTAATCGTATATCATCCACAGTTTTTCTTGAATATAATCTTGAGCAATGCATACAATTGGGGTAAGTCTCATTTCATTGTTTTATTTAAGACAGCTCTATTGTTAATCTGAGTGCGTAGCGTATTCCGAAAAACCAGTATTGGAGCCTATTAAAAGAAAAGTAATTTGACACGCAGAGAAAATGAGTGTGCATATTTCGTTCCATGGCTTTTGTTATAGAGACAGTTGAAGTTTTGGATTTTCTATAACTCTCGTACACAGAAGTTGGTAATCTTCTATTGTCGATTGTCCATGTCTTAATCTATTTAAAAACTCCAAATATCTTATGTCTTCGGTTCGCATTTGCTGAGTTAATTCAACAACGAAGTTTATTTCAGACATAAGCTACTGTGCACACGACATATCTATCTGACGTTCTGTAACTTGCTGTATCGGTGTGCTGCTACAATAGAGAGGCTTGTCCAAAACAGGAGAATATTGAAGGTAGTCGCCGAAGAAAATGACATTGACACCACCAAAAGGTATCTCAGAATTTATGTGCTTCGCTGTTTTGACTATTCGATTTAGACGAGCTAAGAGACTAAAGTCCTACCATGCTCATCTCATCGATTATCAAGTGCTTCATATGACGCCATTCATTTTCTAATTTCATATCACCAGGTCTAAATGTACGGGTTTGTTTCTTTTTAGTGTTTTTGCGACTTTCACCTAAAAATGAATGGATAGTTAATCTGTCAATCTCAGCTGCTGCTATAGATGTTGGCGCCAGTTTACGCAACATCTTGCCCCGTTTTGTTAGTTGGAAATACTTGGTGAGTGCACGAATCAACTGAGATTTTCCAGTGCCACCACAGCCAGGTATACACATCAATAACTGATTATCGATAGTATCTAAATATCAAGACTAACTAAACCATACAACAACAAAATCGAGATAACATACCGGTATAAGTATAATGTTCACCATCTAAGTGACTAGTAACAATTATAAAAGCATATTTTTGCTGTATATTTAGCGTAAATTGTTTAACGATATCCTGTCTTGTGGGAAATAAAATCGAATTGGTTGCAGTTACAGGTGGGACTCTTGTAACTTTCGTTTTAATTGGACTTGTTGGAATTTCATTACCTACGATTTCAATCTGTGTTTCATCATCTCGTACTTCCAGAGTATCTTCGCCTAAAATTAAATAGTTTCTTGTTTCATCTCGTCGGGCGTCAATATCACGTTTCCATTCTTTAATCATGGTCGTATGATGCTCGCGAGCTACGACAAATGTGTGAACGTCGTGTATGGCACCATAATTATTTTCACCCAGAGAACGTGTACGGCCTAAATCAAACAAAATATTTTCGGAATATGGCAGTAATTAACTCACCATTGAATAATCCAAATCTATCTGTATTATCAATTGCTTGTAATGCATCATGAGCATAGCGTTGTTCGTGAGTAACTGTTAACGCCGAGCAAGTATTTGTGATGATCTCATTTACGATGGAAAGCGTTTGCAAAAGCTGTTCAGGATCGTCTTCTTCAGTATTGTCATCTTCTTCATAGGAGTTAGGGATTAGAATAGGATCAATGCTGCTGTCACTTTGTGCTTCTAAAAGAACTTGATGAAGGTACTCATCTCGATCGTGCTTACATTCATGCAAAAGTTGTATATTTTCTATAATTTTGAGTGAACTAGAAGAGATCAATGGTTTTAGAACTTCCAGTGCCTCAGACCACGTCTGATTTAGTGCACAAAGATCGTAGACTGATCTCCATGGCACGAATAAAGTTAGCAATGCACGACAATAACGCTCATGTGTTTCTTCTCGTTCGCGATGGGGTATTGGAGAACCAAGCAGAACTGGTACCACTGGAGTGGTACGTTTAATGATGATATGTAATGATCATTGTGGGTGTACACTTTCAAATGTGTGTCGTTCATTTATTTTTGTTCCTTCGGTATATAATCGTTCGCCTTCATGCCCATTTTCATTCTTTAGTAAACGGCGGTCTGATTTGTCACTAACCTTCTTGTGAAAATGACTGATGAAATCATATAAGCATAATGCACTTAGATCTTTTGATCAATGCTAATAGTCCAGACGAGTGTTTATCATGACATACCCATCACCGCTTTTGGTTTTTGTTGGCTCTAATAGAAACTGTTCTTCAGTTTCTTTTGTATCCTCACCTTGTTCATCATAGAAGAGCGCTAAGATCTCTAGAAAAATTGCTTATTAAATATCTATGTAATCATTTTTAAAACTTTTTTCTATCAACTTGCTGCTGCTCAATAGATTTGACTCCTTGCTGCGTAAGGGCAAACATATCATAGACGGCTAAAATCGACTCTGTTACATAATCAGTTATGTAGTACACTGAAAACAAAAAAGGTTTTATACGAAACTAAAAAAGGGTTT